GCTAAGGCCGGAGTTCAGCTTTATATGTATCAGGGTTGAACAATTAATTTAATGAAATGAGAAATCAGCAGTTTTGCAGCCTGTGCAAGTATTTCAGGATAAATAGAGTGGGTGAATCTCCCCAGCGGGAACACCGATTGTGTTTCTTTTCTATTTGAAGTACAACAGTCACTGTGGCTTTATGATTTGTGCATTAGTCATGATTGAGTATTATGAGTCATTCTTTGGAGTATTAGTTGGAATATGTATTGTCATTCCTTTAATTGTTTAGAATTCTGTTCTATTGAATCTAATCCGGTTCACCATAATCGCATTACATATTTTTGATATCAGTGTTGTATCTATTTTTATCCTTATTGTTACTCTTAATTTTTTTGTATACCAATCATTATCTATTGAATTGGTTTGATTGGACTATAGGCAGAGGCTTATCCACAATAAATTGTACAGAGTGACTTCACTGGTTGCCAGGAGCTGGGCGGGACCCTGGCCAGAGCATCCCAGGTTGCTAAAAGTCGGCAGGGAGATGTGTAAGAGCCATAGACATCTCCTGGCCCAAGTCTTAGCAACCTGGGATGCTCTGGCTGATGTCCCAACCCGAAGACACATCTCCCTGCCTGCTCTGGTTACTAAGAGCTGGGTGGGGAGATGTGTATGTCTTGCTCTTAGTAGTCTGGGATGCTCTGGCTGGTGTCCTGCCCAGCTCCTGGCAACCAGTCATATGAAGTGGAGTGAAGTCACTGGTTGCCAAGAGCTGGGCAGGACACTGGCCAAAGCGTCCCTGGTTGCCAAGAACCGGGCGGGGAGATGTATATGGGAGAGGGTTGAGGAGAGAAAAAAAGTCAGCTGCCTCCGTAGGTTGGTGAACGTTTGCTGACCCACGTAGCGGCAGCCCCCCTTCAAGTGGTGCCCAGGTTATGTGCCATACACTGGATACACCACTGGCTATAGGTCATTATTGTACATGATTCGTAGATATTACCATTCTTGTTTTATAAGTATTGTCTTTTTCTCTATATTTTAGCCATGATGAAGGGGACTACTAGAGCCCCGAAACATGTTCACTCTCCTGCCTGACTATATTATGAACTATTGAGGTTGTTTTGAACTCGTTTACTATTTGGCCTGGTGTTCTTTTTGCTGTTCTCTTGCTCCTTCCTGTAGCTACCCCAGCCTGGGGCACCCTGTCTTGTGAGAGCTGCCATAGCTAGTTAGCTCTATGGATTGGAGTCATTTTTCATATTATTAGGTGATTGACAACCTAAAATCCAAGTTCTTAGATATAACCTCTAGCAATAAAAACCTAATGGGGGGTCTAACCCTTCTCTACTCTATCCAAAGCTTAAAAAAAGGATTTAGATACACTGTTTGTGTGTGTGGTTCTGTTGCTCTGTGCCTTTGTGGTGTAACATCTACACAATGCATGATGGTCTTGTGTCTTGTCTATATGTCATGGCTGTCTCCTATTTACAGGCCAGGGATAATGGTGTGCAATTGGAACAGTTCCTTATTCTCATCACATTGTTGTGGCCACCAGCCCACAACTTCCCATTTCCCTCCTATCACCTGTAATGGAATCAGAACGAGAAAGTCAGGTAACACCTCAGCCTTTCACACAACTTCCCCAGTGATACAGAACAAGAATAGTTATAGGAACAACTACCTGCTATGTGGAACCAGATGTGCCTCCTGCTTTTAACCCTTCACTGCCGGAGAACATGTTGTTTACTATACATCAGCCTGACCCAATTTTTTTTACTAAAGAGGTACCCCTAAAATAATTTTCAGGTCACAGGGAACCCCTGCTACAAATTATATCTTCAAGGTGCAAAAGCATGTTTAGTTAGCTGATATAATATGAAATAAAAGAGTGTATTTCACCCCCCTTCCTTATTTTCAGTAATAATTATAAAAAAGAAATGAATAAAATTAATGGCTGAAGAATAATGTAGAATAAAACAATTACATTTGCAGTCCCCTTATATTTGTGGTTAGTGGAGAGATGCCCCCTTATATTGATGATGAGAGGAGAAAGGCCTCCTCATATTGGTGGTCAGTGGAGAAGAGTCCCCTTATATGGGTGGATGCTGGAGCAGTGCCCCCTTACATTGGTAGTCAGTGGAGAAGCGCCCATTAAATAGGTGGTGAGAGGGGAAAGGCCCCTTACATTGGTGGCAAGGGGAGAAGCACCCCCTTACATAGGCGGTGAGAGGAGAAAGGCATCTTACATTGGTGGCCAGTGGAGATGCACCCCTGACATAGGAGGTGAGAGGAGAAAGGACTCTTACATTGGTGGCCAATTGGTGCCATTCGGGTCTGGGAGCCTCAGCTTTAGTAATATATATATATTGCTCCTATGTTGCCGTAACAAAAATTGGTGCTCAGACCCATTCGGATGCATTAAACCGAAAAACACATCTGATTGGCCAGAAAAGTCACATGTCCGATTCAGTTTCATTTTTGAACGAAATTCAAACAGGATCCGAAATTCTTAAATGGAAATATGGATTCGGACACATTCAGATGTATTGGGATTCGGAAATTCAGATGTGTCTGAATGTCCAAATTTTGATTCGGAGCTAAACGAATCGCGCATGTCTAGTAGAGTGTGATCGTTCCCTAACAATGAAACAAAGCCCTTACTAGACCTACCTGAACACTTAAGAAGAACTCCAGGAATGTAAAAAGTGAACCCTTGCAGTAAGGCTACCCTCGCACTACAAGGCTTAACTGCTCATTTTTCTCTAGGGGCTCAAATTAAAAAAAAATACTCACCCGATCTTCTGTCCCACCTTGCTGCTATACTGGTCCCCACACCCTCTTCTCTCCCGGACTCCGGCGATCTAAGGACCACTGACGTCATCATATCTAATGCAGGTCCATTCACCTCCATTAGATGTGAGGACGCTGAGGGATATAGCACAGCCTGAGCAAAGGGGGAGAGAGGTGAGCGCGGACTGCCGCAGCAGATCAGGTTAGTATATCTTTTGTATTCCATCCCCTAAGGAATAATTAGCAAGTTAACCCTTGCAGTGTGGGGGTAGCCCCACTGCAAGAGTTAACATTTTACATACCTGGAGTTCTTCTTAAACCTAAGCCTTAAATGTAACTTCTTAACACCTAACCTAAGTCAAACAATTTACCCTTAACACTTAATCCTAAAACTCAACCCTATCCTCTTGCCCTAACCTCAACCCAAACCCTTAAAGTGAATATGTGATTTGCCCATGGAGGACAAAACCACAAGTTCACTTAAAGCCCATCTCAGGGCAATGCATGAACCGACTCCCATCCCTCCTTCTAATTGCCCTTTTCTACTTACCTAAAGTTATGGTCACTTGATGTTTGGGTCCCATACCTTCTCTCTTCTTCTGTTCAACAGGGTCCTTCTTTAGATATCATGCACAGTTCCTATTGGTGGCAGAGCCAATTGCAGAGGCAGGGACCTCCCCCTGTCATGGGAACTACATGGTGGTGATGAGGGGACCAGTCCCCCTGAAGATAAGGAATCCCCATGATTCTTCAGCCCCTGTGACAGGAACTGAGCATTCTAGGGGAACGAGACTGTTTAAAAAGGAAACCATGGGATGTGTTCACAAAATGTGTTTGGGGGAAACAACATCCGCGAAAGGTACCTAACTACCATAACACACTTTAGTTTTGACTTTTGCCTGGAATTGGACATTATTTGCATATAGTTTTCTCCTAATTCCTCCCATCTGACTCAGAATCCGAACTCTGTATTTCAATATATCATATCTGACATTAAACATCACAAACAAGGTAACTTTGAGACATTTCTGCACTGAAGTCAGATTGAGACATCGCAGTGTGGACCCACGCAGGTTGCTGCAGGGTGCCCACAACACAGGATATTTTGTCACAGGACGACAGATGGATTGATCACTCATCTTCAGTTGCTATAAAGTGAGGCAGTTCAAAAAGGATTCTGGGACTATAATAACAGAGATACCACTGTTTGGCTCTAGTGTAAAGACTATGCGAACACATAAGTGTTTACTAAATATAGAAATGTCATTTTCCCCAAATTTTTGCAAAAATCAGGGGGAATTCAACAACATTTCTGTCATTTTGGCAAAATGCATTGAAGTCAATGGTGAAAGTGAAATGAAGGGAGTCTTGGTGGTTTTTAGGGCTGCAATGGGCTTTAAATGGCTTCTGAATCTGTTCCTGCTCCAAAATTGCCCCCTTATTGGTTTAATTGTTTTAAGGAGTAAAAAAAAAAAGTACAATAAAAATATGTGACAGTACACAACTAATGATCAAATACACAGACAAAAAAAAGGAAAAAGACAAAAACAAAGCACCTAATAAATGAATCTAAACTACCCTAAATACATCAACAAACCCCTCCAATGACTCATTCATACACACACAGAGGTCCATAGATTTAAAAAACCAGCTGGATCTCTGCATCTGGGAGCCACAGGTATTGTGTACAGCTCCCCTGTACAAATCAATGACAAGCTATGGCTGTATGCTGGAAAACACGGCTTCTGGTGTACCGTGTATACTTGGCTACAGGTGTGGATGCACATGCCTGGATGCAGTCTGTCTGCATCCAGGGGATTACATCTGAACCTGCATGTATGTACACATTTAGAGCAGCATTTACCACCATGCAGCTGCAGTCTATCATTGGCAGGCTGTACACAACACCTATGGCTCCTGGACACAGGGATCTGACTGTTTTTTATGATGGGTGAACATCTGTGACCATGTGAATGAGTCCTAAATAAAGTAAAAAGTCTGTTTTTTTTTCAAGAAAATGTCATCAAAGCAGCTCAATGAGTGAAAATGACAGTCTGCACGTCTGGCAGACGGCAGAAGAGAAATCAATGTAGCTAAAATGACTCTGCTCATCCCGGTCTACGTACTAAAAGCCAATATTGTGAACATCTCTGATGGGGTCCTTATGAAGTAACCTATTGGTCCTCTTGTAGAAATAAGAAGAAGCTGATGCAAAACTTTGTACTTACTTTGTAGGACACAATATTCCAAGGACAGCTCATCCTGGCACATCGGTGGTCGGGGTTCTCCAGCTGCTGCTCCACTTGCCGTATATCCTCCAGGTAAAGCTGAAGGCCCAGACCAGCTATCCAGCTACCTGTCTGATACACTGTGATGAAGTCTTCTTTAAAAGGGAAGTGTGCAGACTTCCTTTATACAGCTGCAGGACACAACTTCTCCATGTTCTAAGTTCTCCTAATAAATTACAAATAGGTAACACCTTTTTTAAATGTGTGATGGGTACAGTAAGGCAAAGAGAAATGTGCAGCAACCCCTGGTGACCAATCAGAAGTCTCCTTATTTTCTTTGCTACAATTGTGACAATCTGATGCAAGGGATCATTGTTGCTATTGGTTACTGCATCCGAACTCTTTGCAATCTATCACAAGGATGATACAGCAAATGGCAGTGTAGCCCCCATCACCTTTTGTGAGGTGGCTACTAGAAATGTAGTGATTGCCAGTCTGGCTGGATTATAGTTGCCATTTATCTGGCTAATTCCAGGTCTTCTGGCATTGAATATACCTACCTGGGTGAAGTGTGACTCTGCTGTAGTTTGGGACATCCATTGGGGGACACTGTGAGGGTGTGAGCAGTTAGGGTTTTCTCAACCAGTGTTGCATGCTGGGTAAGTGCTTATATACTCAAGGGAATTGCCATGTGCTCAGTTCGGGACCAGCCATGGAGTAGTCCAGGTTGGGGTGTTGTCCAGGCTACCCCCCCCAGGCTAGGCCTGGGGGTGGGGCTGCTGGAGTGTGGGAAGTTTTCTGCTAGGCCTCAGTTATGGAGGAGGCCTGTGCTGTTGTCAGAGGAGTAGAACCAGGAATGCTGGTGACTACTGGAGGTGCCCAGAACATCGGGGACCTCAGGAGCAAGTCTGGTGCCTCTCCTGCTGAGGATCTGTGCTCATCCCTGCTCATCTGCTACTCAAAATCCTATTCGCTGTGCTACATTTTCTATATGCATTATACCATTTGGCTAGTTTATTTGTATGCAAGTATCAATACTGAGGTTTCACTTATTGAATATACCTTCAGAATGTGGGTGCGGTTCCCGGATGAGGCGTTAGATCCATATGCATGGTAATGCTGGTGGTGTGACACTTATTTTTAGACCCGGCGTGTATGTATTCAAGTGTGAATGCATCCTATACTATATAATACTTTAATGGCCAGTACATTTACAGTTTGCTTTTCTATGGAAAAAACCTTCAGGTTGCATCCTGCTGTAGTACAGAAGCAGACAGAGCTCCGCGAAATGCGTCACGCTACGTTTATTACAGTCAATGACACTTACCTGCTGAATATTGTCTCCCTATATGTCAGGAAGACTTCTAAACCACTCTTTTGGATTCAATGTGCAATTACATCCTTTGAATATGGTGTGTGTGTGTGTGCATACATATAGATATATCTATATATACAGGTGAAACTCGAATAATTAGAATATCCTGCAAAAGTAATTGCAGTAAGTGCTGCAAAAGGGGCCCAAACCAAGTACTGAGTACATATGCAAGCTTGTACTTTTCAGAGGTCCGATATTGTTCTATGTACAATCCTTGTTTTATTGATTGCATGTAATAATCTACTTTTTTGAGATTGTGGATTTGGGGTTCTTGGGGTTTTCATGAGCTGTAAGCCATAATCATCACAATTATGACAAATCACGGCTTGAATTATCTTGCTTTGCATGTAATGAGTCTATCTCATATATTAGTTTCACCTTTTAAGTTGCATTAGTGAAATAAATGAATTTTGCATGATATTCTAATTATTCGAGTTTCACCTGTATTAGATGAATGTTGATCTATATAGGGAGCAATGTTGGGCAAGTGTAATCCATACTGGACATACTAACATCAGTGCGGGATCACAATTCGTTGGTGTTACTATGTATATGATATTTTAATCTGTTTGAATTAATATTTAACTTTTATATTCACTGATACTCATAGACAGAACACCTTTAAAGACACATTTTGCTAGTTGCTTTGTTTTGTCATATACATTGAGGGGATGTGGTGTTGTGCATGCCCCATCATTGGCATAACCCTATGTATAGAAAAACTGAAACAGTGGGGACTATTTAGCCATCGGCAAGTGTTAAGACAATGAACACATTGGCCAGGCTATGCAGGCACTCCCACAAAGCGGGTAAGTCTGTGGTGTCACTCCCCCAGGGCAGCAAAAGGGAGACAGAGTTTAGTTCCCCTGGTGCTGGGAACTAGTAACACCCCTGGTCATCACCCTAAAATTATTTTATAACCCGTAAGCTACACTGGCTCATGTATGGTATATGAAATATGCTGTTGAGGGTTACATGACAAGTGTACATATATACATGTATACATGGTTGCTAAAAAATGTGCAGAAATGCAATGAATTATTAAAGAATAAGAAAAGTACATGTACTATTTTGTCTCTGCTCTGCAAAGACATGCCATACCTCAAACAGCAAACAAAATGTTTGGCACATGATGCATAGCTCAAATGTAAAGGGTACGAATAACAACAGCTATTACTTCCCTATCTAGCAATTAGAATATCCCCTCATGCTAATTTTACATACATAGATAATATAGACCAGTGTAGGCACATTTCCTGTTTTTTTCTCCATACTCTGATTTTGCTATTATGGTCTTTATTTTGATGTGAGCAATTCTGTGAATTGCCTGCTGCAAAGATTCCTAATGGCTAGTAATGGGTTACTAAGTAAGGTCTATCAGCATGTATGTGGGTGGAGGGAGAAGATATTTATTTTTGACAACGGAAATGTACTACCTAGAAATTACATTTCTAGGTAGTACTAGAAATTACTAGAATGGTCATCAGGGGAGGACTGAAAAGTTTTGGCCTGAGAGGCAAAGACAATTGACTAGCCCTTTCATGGTAGGGTAAGTTTGGTAGAGGGTAAAGAAACTCCGTCATACTAAGGCAGTGGTCTCCAAATTGTGGCCTGCGGCCATAGAGCAGCTTTTTGATTGCCTTTAGCCAGCCTTTGGGGCATTATTCCTCCCACTGACACCAACAGTAGTGCACAATTCCTACAACTGAAACCATTAATAGGGTAATATTCCTCCCAGTGACACCAATAATGGGGTACTATTTCTCCTACTAACACCAATAACGGGGCACTATTTCTTCAACTGACACCAATGGTAGAGTATTATACCTTCCACTGACAGCACTATTGATACCAAAGACAGGGCACTGTTCCTTCCACTGACAACCATGGATGGGGGATTATTCCTCTTCCCTTTGGTCACAGGCACCAGGCTATGTGTTACTCCCAATGACCACCAACCCTGGAGCAATTTTTACTCCCTCCAAGGAAGGGGGATAGTTTACACCTACTGACCACTGAATCTTGGGTATTTCTACTCCTACTGACTACAGTCTGGCTTCCCCCAAAGTCTGAAGTACAGTGAACTGGTCCTTTGTTTAGAAAGTTTGAGGAACCCTGGGTCTCATGTTGACGGACATCTAGATGTATGCAGCCATTTGCATTCCAACGTATCACTGCTTAAATGCATGTGCTCAAAAATGGAAAAGACAGCATTTGCTAAATAAAAGCAGAAAACAGCGCACCAGATCATGCAGATAAAAACACCTTTTATTAAATTCAAAGAGTAAAACTGCACTTACAATACAGTGGTTTGGTCAGGGTATATTACCAGGAAGAAACACCTCCAAAGGGAAGCCAGGTCACCCAAATTGATGCTGAAGACACGCTCACTATGTAGCCAGCATCAGGAGAGATATAAGAAGACATGTGTCATCTGGAGTAAGCACTGTGAGCAGGTGAACCAGAAAGTCCCCAAGGTGTGGTGGGAGGGAACCAGACTACAACCCTGGATCTATAGAGTACCTCCACTAACATGTTTCAGGGACCCGTGCCCCTTTATCAGAGAGGCAGATCAAGTAAATCTCAAGAGGACATTTTGAAGAAATGCAACGCAAAGCAGGTCAAATGCAAACTCCAAACTGTCGGGTACACTACTCCAATAAAGGGCATGGGAATTTCCCTGGCCTGTGTTTGACGTGTGTTCCAAATGCAGGAAAACCTTGACCATGTACATGAGCTCAAAGTGTGTCACGGTGTTGCAGTAACCAGTGGCCATGGTAAAAGATGAGTGTTGTCTTAGAGGATCTGGATAATTGTAACAAACCTTTTCACATATATATGCTAAAAAAGGGGTATTGTAAAGGACAGATTGCAAAAGTGATGAATTTTAAACCCACCAAAATAAAGTATTAAATAATGTACCATGTCATTATCACAAATAATCCTTATCACTCAGCTCCCTTTGAGCATTGTTTCCTTTGCAATTGTCTGCATTTGGTCAGAGCCCCTATGGAAGTCAATGCTGGAAGATCGAAGTTCTGAACAGGGAATAGTGATGAGCCTGGGCTAGGTACGAACCAAGTTCGCCTGAGTTCGCCCACTCAAAACTGTGCCACCCCCTCTCGGCTCAATCATTGGCAGCAGTTGTGGCGGGGGCATTCCCTGCCCCTTTGTGAAGTTTAGCTGCAGAGTTGGGAATGTGTCTGCTGCAAAAGATTGGGGGGAGAGTAGGTTGTCAGTCAAAGCTTTCAGTGGGCTTGGGTGAACTTAGGCAAAAGTGGGTTTGCGCCAAGTCTGGGCTCATAACTAACATGGAGCAGGTGGCTATATAGCACCCAGCCCTTCCTTGCTAGTTACTATGCATTACATCGCAATATTTCTAAAGCTGGCCATACACTTATAGATTATCTGCAGATTTTCTATGGCCAGATGGAAAAAGTGCAACAGACTCCTCTATCTACGCTAAACTGTGTGGATAGAGGAATCTGTTGCACATTTTCCATCTGATCATAGAAAATCTACAAATAATCTATAAGTGTATGGCCAGCTTTAGAAATACTGCTACTATTCAAACGGAATAATATATTATCTTCCTTTTTAGTCAAAACCACACCACACACACAAAATTTTTTTTCTTAAAGGAGAACTATGGGGTTAAGTCTTTTCCCC